TGATTAAGAAAATGGTGGAGAAATAGACACACATCGCATCAGCTTAGCACCAATCCATATAGAAAACCAGGGAGGAAAAACGGTAGTGGATTACCCGAACTGAAGCAGATGGTGGTCATGGCGGTGCTCAATCGCTTCCAAAGAGAAACCAAACAGATTTGCTATAAGTATGTGTTCCGCTGAGTGCAACAATTTGCGCTTATCAATAATCTTAACCACTGACTACGGATAGGAAGTAGGAACAGCCCCCACCCCCACCCTTGTCTCCTCCCACCGGGAACAACCAACCTCGGCTCCATGGGTATCTGGGGATTCATCTACAACTTCACGTAATCGCTTCCTAACCAACCCGGTTGTGGAATCCCTGCCTGGCCCGGATCGTAGGGAGACCATAACTCGAGTTCTAACCGGCTTCGGCAAGTTCGTCGTCGATTCTGCTGTGAGCGATTCTCTCAAAGGTTAATTATATGATCTCCTTCATGAATCATGCCACTGAACTAGGATTGAGCTCCTGAATCTATTTTTGTTTAAAATTATTGCTTTTGGGGATTAGGGGTAAGAAACCCCTGCCTGTGTTGTAATTTTAATGTTTTCTTACGAAGTTACATTGGGGTTATTCAAAAATTCTATCTAAATGGTCGAATTTTAGATTGGGGATTTATGAGTTTCATGGTAACGATTCTGAGTACTTTATAGGCTTCTTACGAACGACTCAATTGTTCTCAAATCCCGATTGCATAATTGATGATTCTGTTTCTGGTTATGTGAAGGTCGGATGCAAGTGTATAAGATAGTGAAGGAAGGATTGAAGGATGAAGCTCCTGTAGAACTAGCAAATTTGAACAATAAAGCACCACATACATTAATGATGGAGGAGATGCAGGCTCGGATGGAGAAAATGGAATAGGATTTGCATATTATAAGGCTGGATGACGAAGATTCAATCTTATGTGCCAAGGATTTGGATCCTCGTAAAGATGAAACCGCAGAAGGTAGTGAAAAATCATCTCCTGCAAAAAGTGATGTGAAGAAGATCTTCATTCGGTCGCGCTTATAAAGAGAGGGATTGTAAAATACATATGCGTTTACACTTTACAGGTATTGGTAGATTGGATTCTGTATTCTTTTGCATTTTTGTTGATGTTTTAAGTTGCATCTATAAACTCTTACCCTTTTTTTTTGTGAATGTTTATATGTGGCATATGCAATGACAATTTTAAATTAATACTTGCTTGTAAGGTGTAAGTTTTTTTTATCAATAGGGAAAGTACTCCACTTCATGTGCTTAGACGTCTAGATACTCTTTTTCAGTGTATGTCTTAGATTTAGTTTCCAATTAGAGGTTAACAAATGCATCTTTATTCAGATATCATAATCGAAGGTTTCTTGTGATGAATGATTCAGGTTTGGCATGGCAGCTTCCTTAGTTTGGTTATTATATGTATGCTACAGCTTCATATTCTAGCTTAAGACATTTGATGAAAATTTTCTAGATTCTCTTTAATTTCATACATCTTTGATGTTTACAAAATAATCTATTATATTTTGGGGCAATTTTGCAGTTTACAGACTAATAGATTATCTTTTTCCAATCAAACCTTAAAAGTTTCATTCAAGACATTTTCCAATTTACCCATATTGAGTTGATATGACAGTTGAAAATGTTTAGTTTGGAAAATTAGCTGTGAACCCGATATAACATTAACAGGTCAAAATGGTTTAATTCAGAACAGATATTTGAAAGTTTATGGTTTGGTTGGAAAAAATAAATTTATAGGGGGTTAAACCGCAAAACTGCATAAAATAAATGTTTTTTTGGTAATATTCGGTTTGTCACATAATTTAATAGTTGTGTAAAATGTGGCATGAAATTGAAAGGTCACCGGATACTGCAAGAGTGAGGAGCAAGATGATTTATGCAAGCTCAAAGGACAGGTTCAAGAGAGAGCTTGATGGCATTCAGCGTGTGCGACAGATATGGTCTGGCCGACGGTGACCAAAAGCCTTTCAACAACATGAAGAAACCGCCATAGCCATTTGTAGTTGATGCAATCATTCAGACCAGAAGGTAAGCATAATTTTCTTTTCCATTCAAAACCAGCAAATTCTAAAATAATGTATTTAAAATGACAAAAGAAAAATATCCACTCCCATTTACCACATAAAATGGTTTGTGTGTGTTTGAGAGATAAAGTACAGATATTTACTCAATTGCAAATCTTCAATTGTTATACCCCTGTTCTGTGACTGAGCATCTTGGCTCTTCACAATATATTCTGCCCAAACACCTTGCGACTAACGTGTTTCTGTAAATTACAGTAGACAGACGTGAATGAAAAAATTTGAAGTTTAGGGAATACATAAATATACACATACCATCCATAGTACAACCACAACTATAAGGAGCATTTGAAAGCATTGAAGTGAGCAATGCAGAAGCAGTGGCTGAATGGGATGGAATCAGTGATTCCACAGCAACATCGAGAAAAGAAAAAAAAATAGAGCCAAAACAATTATGGAAAAAAAAGGTGAATCATTGTGGCATAAATGTGCATTTTTAAGTATTTAACAATTAATCTTACCTCATAGTAAGACCTTATAATTTCTTTTATAAACAAACTTTCATAAATTGAAAAAAATAAATAAATAAAGCAAACTTGGAACTTAACTAAAAATTAATTGTAGAAAATTTATATAATTATGAAAGTCAATGACATGTTCCATATAGTTCATTCAGGTATTTCAATTTATTTTTTAACAAAACTACTGAGACCAAAGAGCATGGATGTCCGCCCAATGATGGAAGTAGTCAAAGGTGCAGCTTTCTGTATTTTACAGGTACTATTTCCAATTTTACCCTTGATTAACAAGTATATAAATTTTGTATTAAAATAAGAAAAAAAAAATTTGGTTTCTTGAGGCTGCTGGTGGATGTCCTACATCTTTGAGGCCTGGAAGATGGTTAGACTTATATAGTGGTACAGGACCTGTTGGCGTAGAAGCTATCAGCAGAGGATGCTCTCAGGTATCTTTACTGTCAATTTTTAATAAAAAATCTAATCCACTCGCTCATTTTCTATAATTTCCATCTTTCAGGAATTAAAATGATTTTGTGATTCCGATCCAAGCACGAATGATGCAGGCTGTAGGCTGAACCTGACAGACTACAAAAAAAATCCGTTAGTATACAATTCAGAATGGGTGTTGCTGAATATCATATAATGCTGGGAACTGATCATCGGATTGCAACAGATCCATTGTCTATGAGGATGAGAGAAGATCAAATTAAGCAAAGTAAGTTTTCCAATTATTAAGTTAATGCATAAATCATAATTAGACTTTTTACAAATTTGCCCTTGGTTTTGTAGTATGGAGTGGAGATTCGGTTTATCCAACAGTTAACTACATTGAAGATCCACATCAAGTGATTGATTACAGGGGTCCTTTTAGTAAATTTAACCTTTTTTTAAAAATAAATTCTTTTATATATAATTTTCCATTGATTAAGCTAACATTTACTTTTCTATTATTGATCAGAATGGAAATATAACATCAAAGGATGAAATTGATAAAACATTGGCATCAGAGAAGGTTGAAAAAGTAAAGGTAATAAATAAGCCTCCATTATTGTTTTTTGTTTTCTTCAATGTATTATTTTCAATTACTCATTTCACTGTTTTCATTTTGTAAACACGTTAAATCAGCAGTTTGTGATGATGAAGGTACGGGTAAATCTGTTGACATTGATGAAAATGAGGTGATATATTTCGCTATGACTGTTTTTATTATTATAATAATAATAATAATAATAATAATTATGTTTTTCCTTTAATAGGATAGTGATGATGAGGGAAAATTTTTAGAATGGCGAGAAGTGCTCCTGACCTTTGCAAATCAAAGGTAATCTTTTTAATCTGTATTCTCTCATTTTACCCATTTGAACCATATTGCTGATTCTCAAAAGTTGACTGATTTCATGTTAGACTTCGATCAAGATAAGGATCTTGGAACGTAATTTTACAAGGTACATTATCTATTTCACATTGATTATAAAAAAAAATTTAAAAAAATTGAATATTCATATGCTATGAAACATCAAGATTATGAGCACTAAATATAATTGTAAATTAGATAATTTGTTGATTCTCTTGAATATGGCGTGGATACTTGATAAATAGAACATGAATCTATGGAAGATGATTTTGAGTTAGCCGAAGGACTGAGTGTTGGTTGTATCCTTTTTTTGTTTTTATCTTATTTAATGGCCTTTTTTTCTTAAACAGTAAATTAATTTTCGGACCAAAGACCCCTTCATTTATTATCTCTGTTTGTTGCGGGGGCCAAAGAAACAAGAAAGACAAGTTCGAGGGGTAAAAATAGAGCTAATATAAACTATCTGTTGCTAATGTAGTTGTTGCTATGTAACTGATATAAATATCCCTCGTAGTAGGCTGGACCGACATCCAAACCTAAAAGAAGAAAAAATAAAATGACTCAGCGCCAACGGGCGCGCATGATTCCCATCTAGTTATGATCAAATAAGTATCTTTTTTTAATCGTTAACAAATTTTTAAATCTTAAAGGTTTTCAGTATACCTTTATTTACAATAATTTATTTATAGTCGTTTAACTTTCTACTATAATTATTTATTCTAAAATCAATTTTATAACATCCATATCTTCTATTTATAATTATATATAATTCAAAAAAATTTAATATTAACATTAATCAAAAAAGAAATAAAGTGATAATTACAAAATACTTTATTATTGTTTTCAGTCGTCAATAGTATTACTAAGGAAGTAAGGATAACTATTGTGACTTTTGATTCAAAAATATCGTAATATTTTAAAAAAGAAATAGAAAAACGTAATCTAGTATGGCTAGTTAACAAGTACTTGTACAGTATACTTAGTGCCTGCATTTGAAGTATTAAATTACTTTTAAGTTACCATTTACCAAGACAGGTAAAACGCAAACTAATTTAAAAGAAAAATATGAGAAGAAAGGACTTACTACAATTTTCAGTGACTGTTCGACGACAAAAAATGACGGTGACTAGTGACGCCGTCGGCAAAGACGAACTCACAACCAACCACAAGTGTCAACACATCCACATTCTTCCCTCACAAATCAGATCTAGATAAAAAAAATCAAAATTCACAGTTTAATACAAAATTTCAAACAATAATTCATAACTTAATTTAATATTTCAGACACTAATTCACAACTTAGTACATAAAACAAATTAGACATTCACAACTTAATAATTTACATATTCACGAATTAATACATAAAACACATATTCACAGCTTAATGACTTACCCAATTTGTTGAGGTATTTCATCAAATATTTTGTGTGCACTACATACATCAGCTCCATAATCACCATAAAACATTAGATCTGACAAGATATATAGAACTTTCATCATCTTTGAAGTCGGTTGATGTTGTTTGGTTTTCCAATGAGGTTTGCCCGTTATAGTTGGACGAAAAGAAAAGATACAAATCTTGAAAGGAAAAACAACAAAACAATTTTCAGAGATCTGAGGTGAAGAACACAAACCATATGTGCAACTTGAAGAACACGACATGAGATCTCATCAGAACTCTTTCAATCCCGTCGAAGCTCGCAGATCTGGTAGTCGGTGGTGACGGAAATCATAGATCTTGAATGGAGCTCAAAAACTTGGAAATCGTAAATATGGACCGGAGCTTGTAGATCTGAACAACGGTACAGAAGATTTGGTGCAGATCTAGTGTTCCGGGGACAAAACGTGGCCGATTTGAAGATGAGGATGACGCTGATGGAAGATCTAAAGGTGAAGGTTCTAGATCTGCTCAGATCTCGAAAGATCTATACAAGGAACAAGATCGGAGATAAGAAAAAATCACTAGAAGCATTTAGATCTAACTAGATATGAGCAAAAAACACAAAGAAAAGTCTTCAGAATCACAGCGCCGGAAATGACAAGCGGTGGTGTGACGGGCGATGGTGGATCTGAAACGGATACACCTTGGTGATGTCGTCGACTGATCTGATGGGTAAGAGGTTGGTAGTGTGGTGGTGGAAAGTCGTCGGATGATGGTGGTGGACTAAATATGGACTAGATCTGAACAGACCTAAACCAGATCTGAACGAATCTAAACGAAAAAAATGACGAGAGAAGGTGTAACACTTTAAATTTTCAGAAAAAATTTCATTTTTAAACCCACACAAAACATAGTTTAACATCTCATACTCAAATTATAATTGTTTCAAAACACAACCACAAAAACTGTTTGTCACATATCCCAGAATCCTCAAAATATAAATCTACAAGCTGGTGTGTACAATGATGCTGGCGCCTTCCCGCGATCCTGAGATGTACCTGAAACACATTTCACACAACATTGTAAGCACACATCTTAGTGAGTTACCCAAAATACCACACACAAATAATTAGCCTCTCATGACTATATCTCGATAAGGACCCTTCGGTCATGTGTCTCAGTGAAGACCCTCCGGTATCACGGCTCGGTTAGACCCTCCAGTCATGTATCTCAGCGAAGACCCTCCGGTCTCGCGACTCGGTTTCGACCCTCTGGTCCTATCTCAATAAAAGTACAGAATAATATACAACATAAATCACAAAGACAAAATGCATAATATCACATATCTCAGTATAAGCACATAAGACCCTCCCGTCAGTAACTCAAATAAGACCCTACGGTCGCACAGTAAATACCACTCAGATAAGTATAGTGAGAAGACTCACCTCGTAAACAAAGCAAGTATGTCTCGTACTCAAACTGTCGGTCTAGACTCCGCCTACATATATCACAATCATCTCTAATTAA